AAGAGGAAGTGTAGTTTGACGGTTTCTGTATGTTGTCTTGCGAAGAAAGCAGGTTAGAGAAATATCCCCACGTGTCTGAGGGGATGAAAGTGAAAGCAAATGCTTAATTTTCATTAAACTAGATAGTCTGTTGTGTTTATGAACAATGAAGCGAGCTGCATGATTCTGGACAGCTTCAATAGATTTGATGAGGCAGTATTGATATGCATCAACCTTCTGAGGGCGTATAGAAAGTTTGGTAGGTGAGCTTGCGATAGGTGATGGTGGTGGTGGTGGTGTTGCAAAGGCGGGGTTAGCCTGGCCTAAAAGGCTGGCAATTGTTCCTCCTGAGCATCTCTTAAATTAAAGGTGTCAGTCACCAAATGTCACTCAGTCCAGTGTCTCGCAGAAGAGTCATGAGGATATGTTGCACGCTCTTCCTCGTCATTGGTCCTTCAGGAAAAATGACATCTTCCAATGCCCCGTACTTGTGACAACATGTCTGCAAGCTGCGTATTATCTCTTTTCTTTCTCTGTCAAACTGCGGGCACAGCCAAACGAAATGTTCGATGTCGCCGATGTAGTCACAGGTGTGCTCGTAACATTTCACTTTAGGTAGCTAAAGTTAGCGATGCTTTTGCATTTATTTTATTTATGCACGAGGACAGTGCACGATAGGTTAGTCGTGAAATGCATACCAAGATATTTGTAGCAAGTTGTCATTAGGAGAGCGTCATTCCTAAGGGATTATGTAAACGTGGAAATCAATGGATCTTGCCCAAAAGTTAAGGTTTTGCATTTGTTAGCGTTCAAGCACATTAAGTGTTATACGGTCGAGGTCACGTTGAAGTGCACTATGGTCAAAGACCATATCAATTTTTCTACACAGCACACAGTCATCTGCGAACAATCTGGTTCTGGATGTTATCTGGGATAGCAGGTCGGTCATGAATATGAGAAACAACAGAGGGCCTAAGACACTCTCCTGTGGAACAACAGACGAAACGTCAGTAATGGGAGGTGAAGTTACTTTGATGACCGTGAACTGTTTGCGGAATAACAAGAAGTTCCGGAGCCAGAAGATGGTCAAGGAATCAATAATAATAGATGAAAGCTTTTCTATGAGGCGACAGAAGGCGAAACGATCGAATGCTTTCCAAAAATCTATGAATATGCAGTTGGTCTGAGAATTACCACTAACGTTTCAGAATGTTCATTGGTATATTCTGAAAGCTGCGTGTCGCATGAGTAACCTTTTTCAAACTCATGTTGGTTATGAAAAAGAAATTATTACATTCCAAACGGCTGGTTACGTTTGAGACAAGTATGTGTTCGAGATACATGCTGGGGACACTAGTTAGCGATATCGGTCGATAGTCACTAACCTTGTTATTATCTCCCGATCTGTGAACGGGAATGACTTTGCCAATTTTTCAAACGTATAGAATTTTGCCTGAGGTTAAAGACTGCTGGAAAATTTGGGTGAGAAATATATTTGACGGAATTACTGTTAGTTTAGAATTTTCGATTTAAGCCGTCTTCCCTACATAAGGTGGGTATTTTTAATTGGTTGAATATGACACCATTTCCTCAGATGTAGCATTTATAGGGCTCACGTACTCGTAGCTAACTTCTGGGGAAGAATGCATATTGAAACAGTTTTCCTTTTTAAACACAGATGTAAAGAAGTTGAAAAAAGTTGCAAAAACAATGTGTGTAATTGCATTACTGTCATCGTATGAATGTAATATGCAACATGATTTTTTAGGTGGCATTGTTTCCCACAATTTCACAGGAATATTGATGATTTATGATTGAAGGTTATTTGAAGAAAATTTAGGTTTGGCCCTACGTACAGCGTCCAAATACATTTTTTCGGAAGCTTAATGTCTTGCCTTTGACACTGGAGAACTTGAGATCCTGGCTAATTTATATAGGCGCTGCTTTTTAATTCTTAGTGGACGAAGTGAATTTGTGAACCATGGTTTTGATATGTTAACACGGAATGAAATGCGCAGTATATGATCAAGAAACTGTTGGCGTGTCTCGTCTTTGAATAGTGCCTAGTTTTCATAAACCGATCGTAGCCAAAGAAAGGGAGAAATTTGTCACAGAAATCTGCCGCTAAAGCATTGACATTGCTAGTAACATTCCTATTCTCATTGTTCACAGCATTCGCTTTAGTTCACAAAGTTTTGCTCCAGCCGCTTTGATGTGGCTATCTTTTTTATGCATGCTTCGGCCTCTAGACGTTATTGTACAAAGAGGTGCTCAATTTTGTCTTGTTGATCAACTTTGACACTTCAGCGCATTTCACTATGTCTCCTGCGATACTATTATTGGTTTTCATAATTTTTAGGTCTTCAAAGGCTACTTGTTTTTCCACGCTATGGCGTTAAAGAGTTTGTTTCGCGGAAATTCCAGGTGTCGGCTTCGTTGGTTGTGAGCAAAGAAATCAGTCATCTTTGCGTGACCTAACACTCGAGCATTTTTAGTGACTGAAAAATATCAAAATATTAATATAAAATGAATAATAATAAATGCTTCGTCTCAGTGGGGGATTCAAACTCGGCGTGGCAAGCGCGTGTTCTACCACACAGCCATGCCTCTTTTTTGTTTCTTGATTGGCTTGCATATCAAGTACTTTTCACATAAAGACATTTCACATATTCGACCAAGCACAAGTGTATCACGAAATTCAATGAATCCTCTCTGAGCTCACTATTCATCATTACTTTGGCATTCGTAACAGTGCTTCATGGCGCACAATTCACTATGCTACATTATCTTGCCCTTTCAGCACTTTAAGAAACAGGCACACTGATTCGCAAGAATATTGTGGCACAGATCGCACTTCTACATCCGCATTTTCAAAGGCACATCGGGTTTTTCATATACTGTGCAGGCTCAGAAGCATGATTAGATTGTAATTGATTCGATGACAAAATAAAATCATTTCTGATTTCATAAGGCACGCCAGCGTCCTTTTTAACAGAAAGAAAACACAGGCACGCCTCTCCTTGTGAATACACTGAAAATAACTTCTGTGAATACGTTAAATATGCAGTGAAAGTAACTTTCATGCTCTTAGTGTGACATGGGGCGTCAGAACATGAGATTATAATAATTACTTTGTAGTTTAAAGCTAGTGATGATTGATTGATTTGTGAGGTTTAACGTCCCAAGACCATTATATGATTATGAGAGACGCCGTAGTGGAGGGCTCCGGAATTTCGACACCTGGGGTTCTTTAACGTTGCACCCAAATCTGAGCACACGGGCCTACAACATTTCCGCCTCCATCGGAAATGAAGCCGCCGCAGCCGGGACCTGCAGGTAAGCAGCCGAGTACTTAGCCACTAAACCACCATGGCGGGGCGGTTTAAAGCAAGTCACCCACTACAAAAGGCACACACGATACTGCACCCTTAAGGCCACGTCATGGGTGCATAGCAAGCTCGAAAATATTCCCCACACTAAGTCTGAGTACGCACTAAGAACAGAATATTGCTATCGCGTTCAAATCTTAAAGCCCAAGCTGGATGGTCCCCGAATTTTTTTCTGCCAGTGATATGACCCTAAATTTGATTCCTGCTTTAGAAATACTCTAGTTATATTTCCTCAAATTCTAACGTGTCGTCATTACGTTCTTGTGAAGCAACATGTCTCTTTACAGGGGTAATTTCAGATTATTTCTCCCTTTGTTGTTCTTTTCAGTGCATGTAGGAGCGTTGGCACGTTTCTAAGGGACTCAGTTTGTTCTATTTCCCTTCAAGATGAGCGCAAACTTCACTTAGCTAAATGATATCTGGATTAGCACCTTCAAGCTCTTCTAGTAGCTTCGTCACCCTGGCTTCACATGTAAAGTCCCGGCATTCACCATTGTCTGGAGTAGCTTCCAGCAGCGGCCAATTCATCAGTGGCGTTTCCCTGACGTATCTATGATAGCATGTATACACTGAGCTCTTCTCGCCAGGCGGCACCAGCGATAGCATCACCACAGTCGTGGTCCGTCAGTGATCTGGCATAAGACAACCTGCGGTGCAACAGCTCACTAAGGCGTTTCTTTGGCAAAATGTCAACGTAACAAGTGCTGCCGAGACCTTTGGTTCCGGTCCGATGATGTTGTTCGTGCGCTTGACCACAAGTATGGCGGCTGCCACGCTAACAGTCCTTGCGGATGACGTCACACGAGTGACCTAAAATAAAGTGTTGCAACCACGACATGCCTGTCACTCACCTGTGAAAAACAGCAGTGATAGCCAGTTTTTTTTTTCACACCATAACTAATTTTTCTCGGCTAAAATACGCACTTTAAGAGTGAAGGGTTCGCCATGACTTTCAAAAACGTTAAGCTTGGCTGAGCGCAGAAGTAAGACTCCCTGACAGAATTTGCAGCTTTTGGGACGCAACATCTAGAAGTTGCCTTGATCTAAAACGAGCAAACTATCTGAAAAACTCGAAAAGTGTTTGACGTCACATAATTAATAAACCCCGCTGAATGAAGCATTTATGCAAACTTTATGCGGCACGGGCTCGAGGCGGAGCTGAAAATTTTTCGCAAAGTTGTTACCGACGGTAGTTATTGCAGTATAGTGTAAACGCAGTGCCACAAGCAGGCCTGTAGCGGGGGATTTTTCTAGTGGTGGTGGCACTTGCTGATTGCTTTAGCTACTTGAAGAAATTCGCATTTTCTTTACTTATTTTCGTCAGAACACCACCTTCATCAGAATATAAACAGGGGGTCGAAATCGGCCACCCATAATTTCGCCCAGTTCGGGCAAGGCAAAACAGGCCCCCCTCTAGTAACGCCCTGTTTCCGAATTTCTAGTGGTGTGGGTGTTTTACCAAAAATAAATAAATAGGCGTTTCTTTAAAATGCTCGTGGCCTTCAGCATGAGAAATACTCTGATAATAAATTCCGGGGGAAAGGGCGTGCAGCCTAACCTACCCCTGGCTAATAGCCTAGGCACAAAGAGACGCGACCAGCTGTCGACGCGTAGCTGACGGCATGTATTCACCTGCAGTCCGATGGAGAAGCTGATCAGCACCACGAGCACGGTGTAGAATTCGTGGTCGTCCCCGCGCTGAATGATGCTTTTCAGCTGGGTGGCGTTGACCGAGAGCAGGGCCACGTCAAGCATGCCCTGCGCAAGGGTCTTCTTGGTTGCGTACAGGTTCGGGTTCATGCTGGCACTGGTGCGAACCCAGCCTGTCTTGGTGGCAGTTGACGGCAGCGCTGGACCGTCACCGTTGGCTGTCGGCGACCCACCCTGCATTGTAGTATACTGCATATAGTGCAAAGTTTTCTTTAAGCGAAAGCTTCACTGGCCTATAGTCAAGCTGAGTTTCGCTTCGTATCTCCGCGTGGCCTTTGAGCGATTAACCGACACCCCGTGAGAAGCCGCGTTGCAGTAGTGCACCAGCCAATAGCGAGCTCGTTTCTCGACTTGTCTGTTCTATGTCTGTTCACCTCTCCGAATGCCCCTCCTCAGTGTACGAAGCGAAAACGCAGGAGTGCACGCATCTTCTAGCAGAGGAGCATCGATCTGTTGCCAGTCTAGGGGCCTGGATTTCGTTTTAAATATAACGAACTAGGAATATTCTAGTTTACTATAGTTTTAAACTTTAGCTTTCGCAACCGGGACTAGCTCAGCTAAGCAGCAACCATTTGTTTATCCTAAGGGCAGCCACCATCAATTTCACGATGCTTACATAGCACAAATAGCATATCTAGACGTTGTGTAACGTAATGAGTCGACCCATGTATTCACGATAATAATAGTTTCTTTCACGTCAAAAGAAGGGTCGGTGAAAGACGGGAGACTAAAAGCGAGAAACACCTGACAAGGTTCTCGCACTTTATAAAGCGAGGAGCGGTTGCTAAAATTATACAATCGCTATAAAAACGGCAAAAAACACCAGAAACAGCAAGACATATTCTCAACAAAAATGACAACCTAAATTACTCGGGAAAGGGGGGGCGTGCGAGGAACCCCCCCCCCCCCTTCCTGTGAAGGAAAATCTTGCGTACGCTTATGTCTTTAATGTTGAATTCCAACGGCACAAGGCGGCGCAAGTTTTTCTGCACCTTTTGGGAGAAGTGCGTTCTAATTACAGAGGGAGGGCGGGAGTCAGGTTTTCCAAGAGAAAGTCGAAGTGGATTCAGAGCTGGAGTCCTCCTCGCCGGTTTCGTCGTAGAAGCCAAAGAAAACATGCAGCCGAGGACAGTCAAGATGACGATTGCACCACCAAGGCGACCAAGCAGACGGAAGAGAAGGAGCCTGCACGCCGGCACTAATGGCGCTACTTAAGTTGTTTTTAGGGACTAAATTTACTCCCGCGATGGTGACGGGACAGAGTGTTATAACGCTGTGTAAATGATGCCGCTTGGGGGTGCCCCCGCTGTCTCGTGTTTTGGCAGTATTGGTAGACGACTTGGCCAACTGGGCAAATCAATGCGTCACAAAGTGACAGCGAACGGTCGCGTACGAGCAGTAATTCAACACAATTTGGCCATGGAATTAGCGGAATAGCATACTACACGCAAGGCATTCTGGGTAACTCAAGGAATTCCGCTTCTACTTTCCTATACTTGCTCCGGCTGCGCGGATTGTGTTTCCATTGAGGATTTGCAGGAGTCATTCCGCCAGAGTCGAGTGCCCACTCGCAGAGTCGGTCAGTTGCTCCGACTCCGCCATTGGAATACAACATAAGCAACGCTTGGGGCAACTGCAAATGCAGCGCGTATGTTGGCAAACACCTGGCTAGCACACTGCCCCAGTGCCAGTAATCTATGCTATTGTTATGCGCAAGTATTTACGAGCAATTTAGATGTACAGTAAGCATTCTAGTGGAAATTCGAAGGAAACAGACATGGCGAGAAAAGGAAGCTGGCGAGTACATCTCTACCCAGATTTTCCAATCTAAAGCTCGACTCATATTATTTAAACTCTACTAATCAAATTCGGTCTGCCGCTTGGACAGAAACACTGTTCCAACGCTTGATGTTCTGTAAATTCGTAAAAAAAGGTATGTGTCAACGTTTAGACAAATGGACTAATCTGTTCTAGCCTCAAGACTATAACTGATTTTCTCAGCACAAGCGTGTGTTTGCTTCGTGCCCTCTTCTTCAGGCTAACAACAGACCAGAAGAGGGCGCCCATAAATGCAGGCGGTGTGGTGAGAAAGGGGGCCATTTGATGAGTTCGTGTGAATGAAAAGGGAAGTGGTCTTCTGCAAACAAAAAGAAGCGAGATATGGATGTAGACGTTACGCTGAATCGCGGTCGTCAGAAGAAGAACCACTTAACAATGGTATGTTTGAAGTTGTTAAAAAGAGAGCATGTTACTTTTTTGTGTGTGTGAGTATGTAGCCCACCGAATGGATTCAAGAGCCATTTTAAAATGTTTACACCTGCTGGTTGAAGCATGTTGTACTTGTGAGTAAGGTATGACTCTCTTTATATTATGTCTCCTGTCGACCGGAATTTCGACTTAAGTATGTATAGTTTGATATTGTCGAAGTTGTGTCCTGCTAGAGTACAAAGCTCTGCTACTAGTTACGGTAATTTGTTTACCATCTTCGCCCGGTGACCATCTAGTCTAACATTACAGGCTGTGCCGTTTTGTCAATGTAGCGTTTCTGACAATATGAACATTCTATCATGTAGATAACGTTGAAGCTAGCGCATGTAAAACTTGATTTTACATGACGAACATAATATCTTGCACTGCTTTAACTATGACATCATTTTGAAGGTGTTTACAAGTCCTTAATTTCGGACAGTGGCAAACGGGTGTTTTTTGGGCAGTAGAAAGCAGGTTCACGTTTGCATGTACTAAGATGTATTTCAAGTCTATTCACAGATTAAACAGTGAAGTGTCACAAATTTGTAAGTTTTTAGCGCTTGGAGTGAATGAGCGGCTTCAACATGCACGCCTGGCGTAGCCTGTGCCTCCGTCCGTGTGTGCATAGACATGTGCGTGTATGTGTGTGTGTGCGCGCGTAGCAGCTTTTACAGCGAGAGCAGTTATGAGATCAGAACATGGGTCACGTGCGGCACCGTAGTTGCCCGCCGCTGCAGCCACCGGTGTCCGTAGCCAGTATCGCAAGAATTTAAAAAAAGTCAGCAAATAAGAAACCTGAAAAACACAATGGGATTCGAACCCGGGTCCACTGCCTGCCAGCCCAGTGTTGTACCACTGAGACATGCCAGTGCCTGGAACTCGTTTCTACGAATGGCGTTAATATGAGTGATAGAGCGTTTTAGAACATCAAAGGGACAACCTTGCGTTACACAATGCGAATAGTGTAACAAGTGGGTCGTAGAATGCTCCAACCCATTAGAAACGTTGTTCTTGATCACCCACTAACTGTGGCGCATACCCGCTTCAGGCATAATTCTTCATTATCGACAGCCACTGCATAAAAAATTGCGCGAAATTCCTAGCAAGTGTGTAGCGGGTGTAGAAAACAGATGGAAGATGGAGCTCGGAGGCGAGGAAGAAGAAGTAGCCAGGGTCACGCTCTGCATTTTTTTTCTGTTCTGTCAACAATAAACCGAAGACGTATCGGTCCTGCGGTCTTTCATGGTCCTTCTGAAACATAGTGCCGTGACCAGGATGATCTGAAGACAGACGCACAGACTTCAACCCCATTCGCCACAACGGGTTGAAGAACGAAGCAGCGGCGTCTGGCTCATGGACGAACCGTCGAGAGAAGGACCACGACCGACGACTGTTGGAGACGCACATAAAAAGGCAAGAGCTCTTTCAACACGTTTTAGGTATGAATAAAGAGGTCCTATCGAAGAAGCGGAAGACGCTTCGAGCAAATGTGACGACGCTTACGAGCGAAATTCGATAAGAAGATAGAAGAAGACGCCAATCGAGAGCAACTTATGACGCTTCTGAACCAGATGAAGAGCGTGTCACAGACGCTAAGACAAGTTAACGAACAGATAGAACCGTTCATTGAAGAAGACGACGCGGAGGCAGATTTTGAAAGAGTTTTGCATTATGAGATGAAGATCGTCGCTGCGACGACAAAAATTGAGGAGCGATTACGCGAGTTAGAACAAGCGACGCAACTGACTACGAGAATAGTCACAGAACAGGCGAGTTCAGTGCAAGGTACTAACCAAATCTCGGAGACGCAAGAGCTTGTTAAGTTGCCACGTCTTGAGATGATCAAGTTTGATGGGGAAAAAACAGCATGGCCAAGGTTTTGGCATCAGTTCGAGACATCGGTGCATAACAGAGCGAACATGCCGAAGAATCAAAAATTTAATTACCTTCTGGCGTCTCTGAGCGGGAAGGCTGCCTCCCTCATAGAAGGTTTGCAGTTTTCTGATCAGAATTACGAGCATTCAGTCGCTCTTCTGAAAGAAACCTTCGGACGAGAAGATAATTTGAAAGAAACCTACATAAAAGAGCTTGCAAACTTGGAAGCAGCGAAGAGTCCTAAAGATGTAGATGGGTTGAAGAAACTCTTCCAAAACTTGCAGGTGAACACACGAGCATTGCAGTCATTAGGAGTGAAAATGGTAGTTACGCCACAGTGATAGCTCCTGTTGTAAAATCTGCGCTACCGGTGGATATGAGAATTGAGATGAAGATGAAGGAGTTAAAGAAAGGTGACAACAGACAAGCTGAAGTGAAAGCATCGACTCTACACGTGTTCTCCGATGCGAGTCCAATGGCATATGGAGCAGCAGCATACATTGTAACAGAATACTCCGATGGAAGCAATGAAGCCAATTTAATCATTGCAAACTGTAGAGTCGCTCCAATCAAAAAGATCACACTAGCAAGATTGGAGTTGTTGGCGGCCACAATATCAGTCAGATTGGCCAGTCATATAACCGAGAATTTCATCAGGAAACTGAGGAGTGTGAAATTCTGGACTGACTCTCATATTGTGTTATGCTGGATAAAGTTAAACAAGACGAAAAATCTGTTTGTTCGCAACCGCGCAGCAGAAATTAAGAGCAAGTCCAATGAGAGTCGATGAGGTTATGTTAAAAGTGATGAAAATCCTTCGGATTTGATGACAAGGGGGATGAAGATGAAACGTTTGCTGGACAGTGAATTATGGTGGAAAGGCCCCACGTGGATCAAGAATGAAAAACAAAGGCCTGATTATGACATCACGCAAGAATCGGACAGTGATGACAACAAAGACGACGAAAAGACAGTGGCAAGCTTAACTACCACCACGAGTGAAGAAAAGGTAATTGATGTGAGCAGGTTTGGATCATACAAGAAAGCGT